CAGGCTTTTGTGAACACGATAATAAACAACTAAAACAGGCATCTTAAGCATAGCCTACTTCGTTCCAGTGAAAATTAAGTACGAGATCTACGTACTTATCAGCATTAAATAAGAACCACTTACTACTATGTACGTATTTGTTTCACTGTTAAGCTTGGAAATCACTACTTCAACTTAACAGAAATATTTAACCACATTTATATAGGTATCAATTTCGTACGGACACGTTTTCGCAGCTATGATATTGAGGGGCAAACGCTCCGAGCAAAGTTATTAAGAGTTTACACACTGAGAATAAGATAATGCACGCATTGCACTTCTGATTGCTTCCCACATTAGGAACAAACACGATAACATCATCCACACAATTACAAAATACATAAATTGTGGTCTACAGAACTTCCAAACATAAACCGCCATCAAGTTAACCAGCAGCCAGTTCGGTTATACGAGCCAACATATAACACAAACGCATGAAATGTCCCAAACACTACTAAAAGTTTTCCCTCCGCACCACTCGCTGGGACAGATGTAATTTTTCATGTCATTTTCTAGATCTAGATTCATGGAGTAGACGTGAAATGGTATTTCATAAATTATTTAACTGTTTTTAATTTTTATGTTGATACTGATGACTTATTTACATGAATTTTTAAAGGATCTCCGGACTCCATCTGATGGAAACAAGTGTCAAATCACGAATTACCAATACTAGGAAAATTAATTAATTGGAAAGAATATGGAAGGAAGCAGTCGTGACCCAGTGGAAACATCGCGGCTTGGACAGACTGAGGAAACACCATAAAAACCCCAGTCGAGGTAAAAGCTGACAAATGATTAAAAATATATTTGCAGAAGTTGAACTACGCCCATAAGTAAAGTGACCTTCACAATAAATCAAACTAAACCAATACCAATACGAGTCAACAACAGTTTCATCGAAAAGGTTAGATTGCCCCCGCCGAAAGGCACTTAAAAGATCTCTGGCATGACCTGGGAGAGACGACTGAAGGACTGACATATGACCAATGAGCAATATGCATGCATTCGTACATTTCTGTAGGCCTACTCGTGTCCTCGGGCCAGACCTAGCATATTTATGCATGCAAAACAAAAGTTGCAAAACCACACACAACAGACCAGACACGTTCAAAGACCATGCTACAGACGGAATGCGGCTGTAACTACTTACACCAAGTACGTCATAACGCTTCACATATTGCGACTACACTATTTCTGATCTATACACTGGATACCTGTAAACTAACTCTTTCTTCAGGAGCTAATAGTCTCTCACATATAAAATAAATTCCATACCATTTGTGGAAACCAAAGATTCATAACCGTCTTCAAAGAACCTGTTGCTGATCCCTACTCTGAGTCAGATGGACCCAGTCCAGGACTTCACACCCTATTTACTAAGATCCTTTTTAGTATTATACTCCAATTTACGCATAGTCTTCGTGATTAAAATGTATTATGTGCACATCTCTCATCCTTTTCACCCATGTTACCAATCCTCCCACCCAACTGTTCTTAATTTGATCACACTAATAAAATTTGGTACACATACAAATTACGAAGTTAGTTATGGAATTTAAACAGTTTCCTGTTATTTCTTCCATCTTAGGTCCAATTACTCTCTTCAGCACCCTATTCTGAATAAGGTATGTGTGGGTGTTAACTCCAGCAAGTCAATATAGGGCTGAAAATGTCGTTTGTGGATTTAGAAGAACAGTTCGTCTCAAGAAGTAATTTTGTACTGGTTGTAGTTTAATTCGTTTCTTTTGCTTTTGTAAGTGTTCATTTTCCGAGTGCTAATATCTTTTTCTCCACTGTGTCCGTATTATCATTCATGTGGTAATTTTGGTCAGCACCATATTCTGGAACGCCCTATATGCTCCGATATTATATAATGGAAATTTACCTTGACTGTCATATGATTTTGCTAGCACCTCACAGTGACGAGACGTCCTTGAGCGTCCTAGATTTGCGTAGGCTAAACCGGTGTAGCGATAACAGACTTGAAAGTATGATGATTATAATGTTATTTTCGGATTCTTGAAATATAAATTGTAAGCTTCCGGGTTGGCTCGCATTCAAGATGTCATCTGTAACCTATGCTTTACATTAAGTTGAAATTGGCCTTTTCTCATCGCATCGTACAAAAATGTGTCCATTGCATAAAATACACTCAAACCTAATTAATGTCTGTAACTTTCACGTTAAATATTTTGATACAGTTAATGTTTTTCAAAATACTTCCAGGTTGATAACGGGTCGATGTGGATCAGAACCCTATTCATGAAATACTTTTAATGTGTACCCCGAATACGAAATTCATTGAAAACCGTTGGGTAGTTTTTGAGGTAAAACATGCAGACGAACGAAGGCACTTTACTATTAATATATTACGTGTCTATGTTAATTAGTCTTTTCTGATGACCGAAGAAACAAACCATAATGTATATTCTTCGAAATACCAAGTAACTTGCCCTTACTGCATTAAAATTCTAATCCAAATTCTATTTTCAATACAATCTTCGCAGTAGTTATTAGGATTACTCCTTTCTTTAGAACTCACTTTAACTCTCCTGCATCCTTCCATTCAATGTTGACAGGAGGAAGAGGAAAAAGTTGTCTTAAACGCTGTCGTATAAAGATATACGGTGGTGTGGAGGTGTTATTCCATGCATCCTTAACCTTGGCAATGTATGCGTTGACGCATGCCTGAAAAGAGTTGAACGGAAACAGTTTCGCATGCCTCATTGCACGTGTTCCCAGCCTGAGTGGGTTTTGTTTCAACACGCCGTGCGTCTCGCGTCTACTTCCACTACAAGATGACGTCTTCGGAAGAAGAAACTTTGTTGTTTATCGACATTTACAGGTCGTTTCAACTATTATGGAACCATTCATGTAAAGTTTCTAAATAGAACCTCTTCATAGACTTCCAAATCCTTCAGAATTCCAAAATTCCGTTTCTTTAAATAAGCCTTCATCCATATGCGTCGCCGCGGTTGCTCTTTTCTGATTCTTGCACCTGTGATAACTAAATATGCTGCACTTATACTGATAAGTAAAGTTGCGTCTGACATGTTCCTCTCTTCTGTTAACAAAAATGCCTGACAAATGGCAGCGTAGTGTTGACAGCTAGGGGCATGCCTTTGACGCATTCAACAAAGGCATGCCCTAAACGAGAGTTGAATTGAATGTTGAAGCGCAAGTTGAATTCCTAACTATGCAGGCGAAAACAGGTTTGGCTTACATCTCGTCTTCACATAATTAGTCATAATTCTCTGAATGGCTTATCACAGCTATTTGCTTGACTATAAATATAGTACAGACAGTCTACCAGCAACCCGTCCTTTAATGTTGGTCTGTGCCAGAAGTGTGTTAACGTTCATTTATTTCTAGTTAGCATTTCTTCGTGTTTTAAAGGCATGTTTAAGAATTGTTTTGAAACTATTATGGTTAAATGTAGCGCATTTAATAGTTCGCTCTGAAACATGTATGGAGCTGCCGTCAGGGGAATATTTCCAATCACATGCCACACACGTGCTTGTTCCTTACCACGTGCTGGAAACGTGTCTCTTCGTCTAACTAGCCAATCACATTGCTCGACTATAATCATGGGTGGGAACGCTACCAGTGCCAATAAAACAACCAGGTTTCTAGAGCTTTCTAGAACTGCTTGTCGAAACCATATTTAAGGGAAAGAACATGATCTACTGAACAAGCCATACGTATATAAGGGGCAGCGCATCTAAAGGCGGCATTATTGAAGTTATTGATTTCTGCTACGAGTGTGCAAGAAGGCGCACCTACGCATTCCAACTGATTATTGATCTAGGATCTGCTACCTTTTGAGCGCCAGCGTAACAAAGCAATTGCTCGTCTGTACATCATAATCCTATATTTGGTACGTTTACTGTAAATGAATGTTCATTTAATATTAAATGAACGAAACTGGTACTGGCAGCACTAATAATTCCGTTCCTTTTGCAGGTAAAGGAATATTAAGTATCTGAAGCAGCAATGCCATCGAAGGGAGTGTTTCTGGTGAACAGCCCAAATGTGAAGTATACAACTGACTTTATTGAAGCAGATTATGATTATCAAATTACAAAAGTTGAGTCACATGGAGATGTGCTTATGGTAAGCTCCAAATAATTTTCTTTTTCAGCTGCTAGAAAGATGATTTTTAATTCAGATGACTTCAATCAATAAGCTTTAGCATGCCTAGAAATTTAAATATGTTACTATTAATTTAACATAATCAGTAAAGTCTCATCAGTATAATGTAATTTATTTCTTGAAAGAAAAAGATGGGCAGAGCAGTTTGCATACATTTGAGAGATGTGAAATGCATTTAACTTCATCAGACATTCAGCAAGACCATTTGTTCTAGAATGTGTTCTGATTACATGATTGGAGGACTAACTTGTTCCTTCACAGGCTCAAGTTAAGAACTGCAAGTTGGAGGACTTGACTTATGTTCTGTATTACATGCCATCTGTTCACTTGTTTGGATCCATAAACTTCCATTGCATTGTGTAACAAGTTTGATGATGCATTAAAGGTGGCAGATATCATCTTTGTCAAATTCATGTCTTGTCTGTATTAGGTTTTCACAAAAGTTCTAGTGTGGTTGCTTATACATACACATTACTACAGGCTATCCTAAGCTTTCATATAAATACAGCATTTTCACAACAGAGCTTCAATAGTTTTGAATTGGTAAGCATCTATTTAGACATACTCATGAGTCATGAACAATTGTCTGAAGTATGAAGAGCAGAGATAGCTCAGCCAGTACATTGACCAGGCTACAAGCTGGATGGCCAGGGTTCAGTTCCTGACAGGGAAGAATTTTTAATTTTGCCACAACATCCAGACCAGCTCTGGGCCCCACCCAGCCTCCAATTCAGTGGGTACCAGGTGTTCTCCTTTGGTATAAAGCAGCCAGAGCATGAAGTTAACCTCTCATCTCCACCTAATGCTGAAGTTATGAATTCATGGAGTATACCTACACTGCTCAATAGTTCTGCTGCATGATGGAGAAACCTGTACTTTATTATTGTGTAATCTGATTAATTCTTAGTGTTTCATGAGTCACAATTGAATATCCATACGTCATTTAATTATTGAAATAAGGTTTCATTTGTATTTTATTTAATTTCTAACTTTGTTTTCATGATGTCTGCCTATTAGTGTAAACAGAATATTTAAGTTATGGATGGATGGACAAACATGAAAATAAGAAGTAGATATACTACACATACAAATACATTGTTTTGTAATATATTGATACAGTTACATTGTGTGGACTAGCATAATGGCTCAACAATGCCAACACAAATTCCACCATCTATAGACACATTTCTATGATCCACATTACTATAACATGTTTTCCCATGATACACTTTCATGTTATTTTATCATCCTATTTTGATCTTTCAATTGACTGCCACAACAAAACTCTCTGTTGTGTTGGTGTGTTTTGCCCATACAGCTTATGTGTTCAAGCCTTTGACGTAACTGTTTAAAAATATTAGGGGAAAAGCATGATTCACAAAATTGCTCATAATTCAGTTGCTTCCTACCCTCTTAAATATTTCTTTTGTCCATTACTTTTCTCTGCATTAATTTGCAAGTGGTTTCCTTGGTATGTAAAATTGTAAAGAAAGTATTCTTATAACGTTTATTTATTTTTGTTTAACTCTTATTGATTCAAACAGGCAACGCCAGTGACGACAAAACTGCATATCCAAACTAAACGTCAACTTCCTAAGTTGGGACTCATGCTTGTTGGATGGGGTGGAAACAATGGCTCCACTGTCACTGCAGCCCTTCTTGCAAATAAGCTACAGCTCAGCTGGGAAACCAAAGAAGGGGTGCATAAGGCTGACTGGTGAGACAGACTACTGCTTTTGTACTAAGAACTTTCAATAAACTTCATCCTGAATTTGGTTGGGTACCATGGAAGTTAAACTACTGCTCCTCATGAATATAAAAATAAACATTCTATAGGTCAGTCCTTACCAGTTCACATATGTAATGTCTCTGATAACTTCAATTTACCCTAATTCTTGCAGTAAAAGCACTGAATATTCTTATAAAATTACATTATTGATAATCCACACTATTGCTGCCTGTTGTTGCAGGTATGGCTCAATCACGCAAGCCTCTACAGTTCGCCTGGGTACTGGAACAAATGGGCAAGGTGTTTACATCCCTATGTCCCAGTTTCTTCCAATGGTGAGTCCTGATGATATTATTGTAGATGGCTGGGACATATCATCAATGAACTTGTCTGATGCCATGAAGAGAGCCCAAGTGCTTGATGTGAATCTTCAGCAACAGCTTCGTCCTTATATGCAAATCATGAAGCCACGGCCCTCCATTTACTTCCCAGACTTCATTGCTGCTAATCAGGTATAAACTTTGTTCAGAAACTTAGTTAATAACATATTAATTTATATGGTAGCAGGATAAATCCCATATGTGTGAGGTAAGGGTTAATAAAATTTACAGTGAACGAAACGTTCCCTCTAAACTCGATTTGCTTTGACATCAAAAAAACTACAAGAAAAGACCAGTTTTATTCCCCTCTGCTCTGGCTCTTCTATGCTTCATCATTTACAGAATACGGAGAACTATCTTATGTAAGGGACGTGAGACATAATATGCTCCATAACAAACAGACATGACCTTACTGACTTCAATAGACAGTATTACAACCAATCTTCAAACGTTTGTTCCCTTGTTGTCCTTCCCTATCAAAACATACTTTAACCAAACATCTCAATTACCCTTTCTTAGGCTTCCCGTGCAGATAATGTTATTTCTGGGACAAAATGGGAACAAATGGAACAGATAAGAAAAGACATTCGAGACTTCAAAGACTCCCACAAGTTGGATCAGGTGATCGTTCTGTGGACGGCCAACACAGAGAGATTCTGTGATGTTCTTTCAGGCCTCAACGATACAGCTGAGAATCTCCTGTCTGCAATCAAAGCAAGTGCCAAAGAAGTGTCACCTTCAACTTTGTTTGCAGTTGCCTGCATCTTGGAAGGGGTAAGAACTCTCCAAACTCTTAGTTAAATCTCCGTGAAACTCTTCCACCACTCATCTTAATAATTTCACTTATTTCTGACATGTTAATCTTCCTGTTTGTATGATGCAGACAACCTACATCAATGGATCTCCACAGAATACATTTGTTCCTGGTTGCATTGAATTAGCACGGAAACACCGTGTTTTTATCACTGGTGATGACTTCAAATCAGGACAAACCAAACTGAAGTCAGTTCTGGTAGATTTTCTTGTCAATGCAGGAATAAAGCCTGTCTCCATTGTCAGCTACAACCATCTTGGAAACAATGATGGAAAAAATCTCTCAGCCCCTCAACAATTCCGTTCTAAGGAGGTGAGTAACTGATTTATTCATTACAGCAAATGCTTTCTAATGCTTTGGTTTCTATCTTTAAATTGTGGCAACTGTTCTAGAAGAAGGATATGACATGACAAAAGTGGGTTGCCTTCCATCTGAAACATTTATGACAGGTTTTGTACTGTTGAAACATTCTGTACTCGTTACAGATTTAGCTTGAATCTGCTAATTTTATCATTATATTAAATCAGTGAAGTTGTTAACACCTTTCTGACACTGAATGCATAATGCCCAACCATTTGAGTCCCGTATTGCATGAGAATTTGTGTGTTCACAAATATTTTTTTTCCATATTTTCAGATTTCAAAGAGCAATGTGGTAGACGACATGGTGAATTCAAACAGGATTTTGTATGGCCCTAATGAGAAACCAGATCATTGTGTGGTTATCAAACATGTTCCTTATGTTGGTAAGTTCTTAGGAATTGTCAGTCATTTATGTTGTTTAGAAACTGAGGAATGTGAGAGCAGAAAATTTAAAAGGAAAAGATGTTTAAAATGGAAAACAAAGTGTGCATAGATTACTCCATCAAATTAGTAACAGTACTTATGTGCTATTGAAAAGTGTTGTCCAAGCTCCTACGATGATACTGTCATGAAGTGGATGTGCACTCGGTTTGTAATATATTGCCTCCTGTACCTATACAGCAGACAGGCTATGCATAAATAAATTTGCTTGTTTTAACCCTCCTTCCCCCCCTAGGCCCATTGTTACCCGTTTCCTTCAATTGCCCTCAGTAGCAGCAGAACTATAAACAGAAGTAAAAATATAAACTGTATTTACCAGTGTCTGTTTTTATAGGTGACAGCAAGCGAGCCATGGATGAATATACATCAGAGATTCTTCTTGGTGGCCATAACACTTTAGTAATCCATAATACATGTGAAGACTCACTGTTAGCTAGTCCCATCATCCTTGACCTTGTGATTCTGGCAGAGCTGTGCAGTCGCATCCAATTCCGAAGGGCAGGGGAACCGGATTCAGAGTACTGCAGTTTCCACTCTGTTTTATCCATTCTCAGCTACCTGTGTAAGGTCAGTACATGACAAATAACAGTTGGGTTAGTTGGTATATTTGTAGCTTCATAGATCACAGATTTATGACAGTCTGCTTTTTGCAGTCAGTTTTTATTGTATTTTACTATTGTATGTTACCAGCATTTTCACAAAGGATTGTCTGGCATGCATGAAGCAGGCACAATTAAATAAGAACCTAACTTAAATGACCATACTTATAGTTGGTACCTTACTGTGGTGAAGTTTACAATTATGTCTTTCCTTCATTGTTTGTTTCTTGGCTCTACAACCCAGTTGTGGGTTTTCGGAGGTTTCTTGGTCTAGAAGTGTGCATTTATGAGTAGTGAGTGACCAGCCCACTGACTCTGCACAATTTCTACTCAATCCTGATTTCACTGCCAGAGCCATCTAGCAGTGAAGCAATGAATCAGGAGAGACTTGGGTGAGAAATGGCCGCTGAATTTTGCTTACGAAACATTTCGTATCATGCTCGTAAGGTTCTTTTACATGCCGTAAATCTACGACATGGGACTGCTGGCTTTACTTCCCCTCCAAAGGAAGTTGTGCTACAGATTTTTATCACTCTTAAAAATCCATCGACCTGAGCCGGGATTGAACCCGCAAACCTTGGGTCCAGTGGCAAGCATGCTAACCACTAGTCCAACGAGGGCGAAGTGTTTCCTTCATTAATATTTATTTGAATATGCAAAAGTGCAACATTTTTATCCTGGCACTGCTGCTGCTCCTTTTCTATCAAAAATCAGGGATATTGTGGCTTCACACAAAGTCTTATATTTTAAATGTATGCTAGAAGAAAGTAGTCTGGGGAAGAAGAGACTCCTCAAATCTGAGGGAGGAAAATATACATTCTCTCAATTTTTTGTCTGTATTTTAAAACCAAGTTTGCTCATTGGTTGGTTGTGCACACACAGGCTTCATAGTTCTCAGTAGTGATTGCTATATGGCAAAATATTCTATTTTTTACCATTAGGCAAATTTTATAATTTTAATACTGGTGATGAAAAAGTTAAAAGAATGTGGTTATGTAAATTCAGTAGTTAGGTGTGGCAGTTTCCCCAATTTTCAGTAACATAATTCCTGCATTTAGCTAGGAATTACTGTAGTACAATCAAAATTAGACATTACTGCATCATGTATTTGCATCTTAATAAAGGTGAAAGTGTTTCTCCATTGTCATCTATGATAAAGATTCTGGTACATTGACTCAACTGCAAACAAATTGCACTAATAATTAAAATGACAAAGTTGACAGTTAGTATTTCCTTTCAGGCTCCTTTGGTTCCTGAAGGAACACCAGTTGTGAATGCTCTGGCAAAGCAGCGCTCCTGTATAGAAAATGTTCTCCGTGCCTGTCTGGCACTACCTCCTGAGAATGATATGCTTCTAGAACACAAGCTGCAACGTCCGCTGATAGCCTTTGGAAATTTATGTACTGTACAGAAAGGAATTGAGATGCATAATGGGATGTCCATAACAACTGGCACAGCAAGAGATGTACCCAAACAACTGGTTGATAAGATTCATCAAAATGGGACAAAGAATTACACACAAGGATAAAACTATAAAGATGCTATAAGAATTTGTAATGAATATTATACATTGATCTCATTGATGACTAACAAGATATATCTGTTACAATTTCCAGACATGAAAGTTGTTCCCTATAATGTTAATTCCACATAGCATTTATGTACAGATTTTCATGTTTCAGTTGTGCATGACATTTATTTATAAATTTACTGTGTACACTTTTCATTCATTCTGTGTAAAAAACCCTTTTTTTCACAAAAACATAGCTTTCACTTTAGTTTTGAATTGTATAAGGCAGTATGAAGATTGTAAGGGACTTCTCCCTCTTTTTTTTTATCTTCCCCCCCCCCCCCCCCCCACATGACAAGGTGAACAGCAGAAATACTGCATTTATGCTGCTGTTGGTTCAGAGAGCTGCTTAGTCATTAGAATTTTCACTGACCCAGAACTGAATTGTGTGATAGGAACAGTATTTTTCATATCTATGTTATGATTCATACTGAAAGTATTTTAAAGATGTGAATATTTTAACATTTATATGTAATTACTTAAAACTTGTTGATGTATACAGTGTTGTATATGAATTGTAGTACAATTCAGCATATTCTTTGATCCACTTTTCTTTTAGTGCAAGTTAAATGACTTGTTACTTATCCATGGATTACAGAATGTACTTGATGAAAAATAAATATTCTTAAACCTTACAATTAAGTATAATCATTATTGACAGCCTTTGTAGTGATCATACATGCTTTGTCAGTGCTCTGTACCTTGTGTGTTATTGTGAGTTGACACTGTTTTTCTTGCTGCCTGATTTCTACAGTGACAGCCAGCAAGGATAGCTGCAGTAAGTGCAACAGAGCCTTCCATGACAAGCAGAAATCTATTTATGTTGCTGTTATGTTGCATGAATTATTACATAAAATTTCATGCTTTCATTTCCAGGTTTCAGTTGTGCAATATATAATAATGCATACTGGCATGACAACCCTCTATACACGACATTAGTTTATTTAGTTGGCGTATAAGATATTAAGCACCAATAGATTGTCAGCACTTCGCTGTAAGCCATATGCTAGATTTCATCTCACTTGTTTGAACTTAAGTGAAGCAGAAAATTCTTTGTCACAAGGAGAATCTATTTATAAATGTGCATCATATGTTGAGACACTTCATTCTATTGGAGATGAAATTGCCCATATTCAACAGAAGATCTGCATCCACCTTGGAGTTACTGAAGCAAATATGTCTGGAAATGGAGTTCATATGGTTTTCAAACTTTCTAAATACATGCAACATGTATGTAAAGATAAAGAATACCTTAAGTGCCATTTAAATTTGATTTCTGCCGATATGCCTGCATCTTCAGTACATGCTTCTAAATCACCCATCTACAAGTCATTGCATCAACATCAGATGGTACTGCAAATATAAACATGCATATTACACAAAAACAAATGTAAATTAGTCTAAAACAAATGAAGAATATAAACACTCATATTAAGCATTGTTTTTGCTAAAAATTCCTGAGAACACCCATATTTAATTTGCAGCTATTGTGCATTTAGCTGAAGAACTATGTCTCAATGGAGATGGCAGTCTTCTGGGTTGTTGCGCCATGTAGTCTGGTAGAAGTTTACCAATGTCAGTAAACTTCTACCACACTACATTGGACAACAACCCAAAAGATAGACATCTTCAGACTCACTGCTGCGAAAACAAATCCCATATGTCTCAATGCACTGATCATGCTGAAGGAACAAAATTCTCTTATTTGCCTTGTAAACCGCATGGGTACCAAAAATGTCCGTACCAAATGATACATGACTGAAAATGGAGCAGTGGTGAATGATACTGACAACGGAAGCTGAACTTCAAGAAAAACCTGGCCCAGTGCCATTTTGTCTACCACAAATCCCACTGGAGTGAATGTGGGCCATGATGAGACGACAGAGATGAATTCCCTTTGCTATGCCATGGTTCAACAAAAGCATACTCTAGCTTTGACCAAATTGAAGCATAATCAAACTGTCTAAAGAACAGAAATACGTAATTAAATGTAATTGAGAATTTCCCATACACTTTCATCTAATGTTAAAACTGTAACACAACGGATAAATACATTTGGCATGTTTTACATATAAACTAAATGTGAATCATAGAAAATACAACTAAAGATAAAACACTGAAGGGAAAACGATTTTGAGTAATTGCTACTGAAATAGTTACTGGAAATATAAAACTGTAAAGCAAAACTGACGTTTTAACTTCAAGATGTATTACTTAAAAATTTTGCTAATTACGTTCGGATAGTCTTAACTCTCGTAGATAAACACACACACACACACAGCAATCTGAGAATAAATGGCGTTAACAATTATTCACAGCCTTTACCATCTTAAATTTTTAACCTGGAAAGAAAATGTACGAATATCGATATGGTAACTCATCCCACGGAAAATAACATTAATGGTTAATTAGGAGGTTAATTTCTTGCGTATAAAATTAATTTCTATTGGGGAATTCTTCACAATATACTATGTATCATTCATACATATGACTAATAAAATATTAATTTAACAGACGTTTCACATAGATACTTATTTATGAAATAATACACGTGACGACTACGGCTGAAAATAATAGTTTCCGACATAACCTACATAGTACAGTAATAAGATGGTTGTCCATGATCCGTGATATACATTGATGACCATCGTTTGTAGACATGTGACCATGATTCCCATAAATTTTAAGTATTCGCGATTTCGAAACTCTATGCTCAGAATATTTCATGTTATGGGCAATGAAAGCACAAATTTCGCTTACAAGAGACTTCATGTTCTTGCGGCGACGGTTATGAAGATGACTGTCTTCTGAGGTGCTGCCTTTAAATATTTAGTTCAATAAAGGTGTAGTCCGTGACTCTAGATAACAAATTTCAGTTATATACTATGTGTGTATTTACTGTGTGTCTTAGACCTTCCGTATAAGGTTGCCACGTGTGGGGGGTGAGTCCTGTGTAGTGGATCTATTTATAAATATTTGTGTTTAAGGAAATTTAAGTTAGCTAGTTTAAACCCTAATTATTTAGCTTCAGAAGTTAATTTGTTAACTTCACGTGCAAGGGAAAATTTTTCGGTACATAACATAACCTCATGGTATTTGTTACATTTAACAGAACACTAAGATTTTCGAACATCCACAAGATTTCCTTTTAGTATACTAAGCTTCCCTTAGAAACAATGTTGTGTTTCATTTGGATTAATAATTTTTAATTCTGTATGCATTTACCAATACTAATGTCTGTCTTTGAGAACTGTGCTTGTTTCATTATTTCAGAACTGGAAATAATTTTAATAGATTGGCTGACGTAGGCCAGCAATGACTCGCTTTGCTAGAGCTCGAGGGTCCAAATCCTCCAATGAAAGGATTCCTGAAGAGGCTACATCATGGAATCAAATGAGACAGCAGCTGCAAGAGAAACATAATGTCCCCAGGAAAGACCAAACAAAAACAGAAGAAAGAGAAAAATATATGCAATGTGAGGTTAGTGGTATTGACAGAGGTGAGTGGGCCATGTTTGAAGAAAATTCAAAAATATCGGGTCTCAACAGTGATGAAAAAAGGATAAAGAAGCGCAAGAATTTTGTTTCTGCAGATTCAAGTACAGAAATTTCTGAACCAGAAAAAGATTATTCCAGAAAAAAGGATAAGTTACATGTGGTTCAAAAGAAACGTACTGTGAAAAAGTACTTGAAACAAATAAAAAAAGTGTCTGATGATGAAAGTGTGACTGATAAAGTAGAAAGTTGTGCTACACAAAGAGAAAAACAAAACAGTGAAGTTTGGAAGGGAAAACAGGGTTTCATAATCCATGGAAAGGATTTAGAAAATCAACATGGAACCAAGGTTGGTAAACCAACATCACAGGAGAGGAAACAAAGGAAGAACAAGCAGTCAGATACAGAACCACCTCTTTGTGAAACTGACAGAATAACTGCTAATAGGAAAGATGTATTTCAACAAAATCAAAATGAAAATTTTAAAAAGAAATTTGATGGGAGAAAAGGTAATGACAAATCTGTTAAATGGAGCAAGTCAAACATACATGCTGTACAGATGTACATAAATGGCAAGGAAATAGAGGTTGTTAAATTTGATGGATTTCCTCTGAAAAAAGAAGATGCACAACGTCTTGAAGAGTTGCGTCAGAATTTACTTAAACAAAGAATCCCAAGGAAAGAAATTGTTGCTGTCATGAAGCGAGAGCGGCGCAAAGCAGAAAAGTTATTCGCCAGAGAGAGAAAGAAAGTTTGTTTTCACTGTCGAAACTCTGGTCACCTATTGTCACAATGTCCAGAACTTGGAAGCTCTAGTGAATCAGGAACAGGAATCTGTTTCAAGTGTGGTTCAACAGAGCATACTCACTTTCAGTGTCAGGTCATCCGCACACAGGACTTTAGATATGCTGAATGTTTTGTCTGTAAAGAACAAGGCCACATTGCCCGTCAGTGCCCTGATAATCCACGTGGCCTGTATCCCAAAGGTGGTGCTTGCAAAGTCTGTGGAGATGTTACCCATCTTAAGAAGGATTGCCCAGATCTGATAAAGGAAAAAGAACAACAAACATTAACTTTAGGAACACTTAATAATAATTCCTTAGATGCTCTAGAAGAGGAATTGAAAGAAACAAATTATACCCCAGAACATAACTTACTGAAGAAGAAAACATGTGTGAAATTTTAAAGGAATAGCACTGTGATGATGTATTTAAAACTCTTTAGCATTTAACGACTTAATGTTAGTTACTGGAAAACTTCTTACAGTGTTTTAATATGCATAGTAGAATAGACATGTAAAATAATCTATCCTATGTCATCAAATTCAGAGTTTCTGCAGAAGTACAAAAGATTGTACAAACACAGAAGAAAGTATCTTTAACTGTGTCAGTATGATTAAACATTTGTCACTTACAGGAACATCAAAACACTATGCTAGCACTGTAGTGTACTAATTTTAGGAAGAATTATATTGTGGATTGGTAAGAACTCACTATATGTTATATAATTGTATTAATGTTATCAGAGTGTGGTGCAGTTATGTTTAATCCAATTGTGGCCTTCATATATATTTGTACCATAAATGAAATTAAAATGGTTTCCAAGAGCACAAGATGACTGACACTAATTATTCTCCAGTATGAGTTTGATCCCACTCAAGATATCCTTCCTGCTTAGGTTTGGCTTAAATTTATTTGGTTATCAACTTCAGAGAAACCTATGCTGTAATCTGCAGTCCTGTCTGAAAGGTAATGGGTATGTGGTTGCTGGTGAACACATATTCCTTTAAAGCAGAATGGTAGTAAATACACATACCATTTATTTCAACAATCAGTAATGCTGCTGTATTTTATGGGTTCTGTATGGTTCTCGGTGCAGCTATTATTTCCTTAAACAGCATAAGCAGTTAATCTTTGTAATGGTGAAGTTCTGTAATTTATTTGTGGTACAGACTAAATTATTAAATATTAGTGAAATGGTCTTTGGCTTCAAAGGACTAATATACCAGAATAATGTACACTGATACATCACTGGTTTAATTGGCACTTAGGATACTATTCCACCCCATGAGTTTTTGCTTCTTGCCTGTTACCTCATATATGGCATGCATTCACCATGGTGTCATATCTGATTCATAACTCGTTTATCACGATTGAAACTAACCTCATTTGCCATCATCAACAATAGCATAAATTTTTTAAACATCTATGATGGCATACATATAGAATGTGTTAATGAGAGTGTTTTCCATACATCAGATAGCAACAATATACTGTATTTCATCACACAATGCATTGTTTTTTTTGCACCACCCAAAAAAATTGTAATAACTTTGGGTGTATGATTTACATGATTTGTGAAAATGGCCCTTCATGGAAAATACATCTATCTGCATGACATTTCTAGAAAACTGAAACTGTCTCCAAAAATCTGTGTGGCATTAACTGGTAACAAATGATAGCTTCATTATTTTAAAGTCTAAATATATTTATTAAACTTTGTTACACAATGTAAGACATTTTCATAAGTAAAACATCAATCATCAAATCCACAGTACAGTTCTTTAACTTTAAAACCCAGTTTTCAACATGTCACACCCAACATTTCTTTTTGGCCAGACTGTGCTAAATACAATGTCTTCCTCTTCCCTAATGTTTATTTGCAGCCTTTTGCTTACACCAGCAGAACATATTTTATATGGCCATGTTAAATTCAAGATTTGCAGCTTTACTGCCATTATTAGCATACCAAAAAATTTCAGTTAAAATGCTGCACTTTTACTTGAATACTTTGCTCTACTTTTCTGTTTCTTAGTAACATATAATCTTCACAAAAATTCCTCTTGACACTACATAGTCATGACCCTGCATCCAAATTGTCATTGCTACAAATATGGATGTCTTACTGCACATAGCTCTGTATGACACCATAGCTGGGATATTCCATACTGCATATTAGCAGAAGCTGCTGTTGCTATCTGGTTTAATTCCTTCTGTTGTTCATTTCAGATTTTGGTGACATTTTTCATACATATGACTGGAATGTTGAAATATATAGAAGTGCTTTTTCTATTTCATAAGAAAAAATGGAGCGTGTGAATTATGCAAGGAAATACAATAGATTGTGATCTAAGCTCACCCAAGATGATTGGAAGCCACAGCTCACAGTTCAAAGATTATAGATACTACTTCTTAGTATCTGACTTAAATTTCTAAAACAAAAAATTATGGCAAGAGGCAGCCTTCTCCTAAAAGCACAACATACTTCTACCTACAATAGTCTTCACTTATATATATACATATTATAATACCACTGAAGCTTCAAATAAATAAAAATCACATTCGTTGGAAAAACAGTGAGATTAGAAGTTCTCGTGGCTCCGAGTAAAAAGACTGCTGTCTTCTGGGATATACCACTTTGTCGGCAGCAAGGACCTCTGAAAAGGTGGTAAACTTCTACCAGACTACACAGCACAACCCAGAAGACAGCCATCTTCAAACTCACCACCGTGAAAAACTCAACTCCTACATACCACTTTGTAGTCTGGTTGATACTAACTGACTGACATCTCAGAGAAGTTTACTGCCTCTAACACCCTGATGATGGAGGAAAAAAGTTCCTCTAGAATGTCAGTATCAACAACACAATATGGTGTTATACCTAGAAGACACTCATTTTTTTTAACTCTTATTCAGGTATTCAAGAAATAGAGTGACAGTCTTGAGAAGAACTATGTAATATACAAGAGCAACTTCACAGATGTATGCAATGAAAATTTGAAGAAGCATTGTTGTACATAATGCTATTGTCATATAAGATATCACACACACAATATGTATATATGCTATAACTTTCCCATTATATTTAATTAGGAACACAGGTATTTTAAAAATAATTTATGAATGAAAATCTGAAATGACTGAACAAATCATAAGCAATCATAGCCATTCTTTTAAGATCTGTGAAATTGGCCACTTATGTGACTTATTTTACACATACTTATTTAATTGTTACTTTCAATATACAGTAAGCATACAAATATTATTCTTTGCAGTAAGTGTAATTAAATGTAAACTTCTTAAGAGAAATATTTTCAAGAAACCTAATATTTTGTTATGCTATAGAGACTGCAGTGACATTATACTGTTATGTAATTCTGGGAAAGTGATTGTGTTATCAGTCTTTTCAGGCACATACTAGAATCATTATAAAATATTAGAAAACTACTTTAATTTACAAAACACCTGTGACGGTTATATATGAGAATGATTACATATAGTGAATTTGGAGAGTAGAAAGCATTAGTAGCCTATTCGAACACTATCCAGATATCTGCCTGGAGAGTTGAGAAAAACTATTGAAATCTTGAGGATAGCTGGTGCTTTGCCACGATTCAAACCAATTATTCTCCAAATGCTTGACAGAAATTTACTGCTGAGCTACTTGCTCAATGGTATGTTAGATGAAGTGTAAATGATCATAATCTTATGAATGTGAACCTCATGGTATATTGATAATAAATTTTATTTTTCAAATTTTGTAACTACTCTGTATCATATATGTATACACCATATTCTTTGCTAAACACTGAAAGTCATATTCTTATACAACAGTAAAACATATGTAAAAAATATTGCAAAATAATATCTAATTAAATATTTGTATGAGGTTTTAACTAAATGAATTACTGAACAGGACAAATGCATGAAACATCTGGAAAATCACTCTGTGGTTGCTTACTTTAAAGAAAGCGGGGGAAATACAAAATATTCAGTGTTATTATCTGATTAATGGCAGTGCCAGTACTTGAACCACACATTGAAAATGCTGGTGAAAGAAATTAGTTCTCTCTCCATCACTGCAAAGATTAATTCAGTTTAGTTATGAAGTGAATTACAAATGCAAAATAAAATACACTTCCTGCAAACTGGTTTATCAGCTTCAAAAAACAGGATGTTCATTACTACTAATAAATTTCCTAATATTTTGTAAGAGATATTGGTAACTTTATCTCTCCAACTCTGAATAAGGTAAATACTTTCGATTTAATCTATACACTATTAAAGTGCAGTATAACCTAGTGCTAGCAGACCAATTCATTTAATACCTTTAAATCAATATAAAATAAGGTGCAGTATTTAATAAATACAGAGCCAGGATAGTTGTGAGTATAGTCACAAAGCTATGGGCTGGATGACTGAAGTTTGATTCAAAGTAGGGCAGGAATTTCTTTTTCACATCAACTGGCTCTGCAGCCAACAGCCTCCTATCAATGGGCACCGTGGTTCTGTTATCAGGGGTAGAGCAGCATAAAGCTAACCAATGCAAACTCAACTCTATCTAGTGCCAAGGTTAAGAACATGTGGATCTGTATGTCCACGCTCCCATGCCTACATGGCATGGTACTTAGTTAAGCACCATGGACTTGATACTTTTTATTTCATAAATACAGCAATTAATAGAAAAAATGTACTTCTGTAACAAGCAAAACACTTTTTATAACTAGCCTTCATTTCCTTGGAATTATTATTTGCAATGCCAGTGGTGCAACAAAACAGCAAACATACATTCCATTCCAACTTCCCAATAAATTTGTGTTAATAAATAAACTAGTGCAGTCTCTGTGCTAAAGGCAGTGGAGGGCTGTATGAGATCTGCTGGGCACTGGTACGTATTCATACATATAATCTACACAGCTAACTAAAGTGAAAATTTGCTGCAGTGACAAAAAAGCTTTGTAAATCAAAAAATTCATTCCTGATAAACTGTAATGAAATGCGGAGGTTTTTATAATAAAAAAGAAAATTTAAATGTGTTGTACGAGTTTATGATCAACTTAAAAATGTACAAGTAGTTCCAGTATCCGTTCTAGAGCTATGTTTGTGTTAAAAACACTAAAAAAGACATCAAGCAGCTACATACCACAACATAAGAATGAACATCAAAATAGAAAATGTGTTAAAATACTTCAAGGTGTTTTTATGAAAAATAGTTTAACAACGTATGGTTTGCAAGCTGGAATAGTAGTACCATATAGATAAGGAAAAAGACAAGCAAAGTGGGTACACAAATTCTTTCCTTTCTCCATGTAACTCATATATTATGCTTCCTTCCACAGTTACATCACTTATGAAAAATTACCACACAGAACTACAAAACTTTTCCCAATCATAAATCTTTAAGCAGGTTTATGACATGTTGAAAACCAGCTGATAATAATTTGATATCCAACTTCTTCATACTTCCTGTTATTTGTCATAAAAATGCCAAAAAAGAAATTAGCCAAGGGCATGAGGTAAAGACTAGACAGCACCATCTACTTACCTTTACAATGGGAGCATTATATATGTATATACTCTGCACTTCAAATTTAATAAATCTCTACAAACCAGTTAAAATATACCTAATGTTCAGTTATACAATCACAAATAGAACCAAACCGCTAATTAGTAACTGCCATCACTAACAAAATTTACTTAGAAAACTCTCACTTGGAATTATGAACACATTGCATGTGGTGTTAAAAGTACAATGAAAGAGAAGAAAATTATAAAACTTTTGCCAGGTATTAGATAATTTTGTATGCAACTGCACAAGACCATCAATTACAGCACATTTGTTCCATTTAAGAATTATCAGCATTATTTTGGATCTTGTTAACAGCACCTAATTACAAAAACACCGAGTGCCAAATGTGGTTTCAATGATTTAAGTGTTTCTCAACCCACTGCTGAAAAATGATCCATTTCTACTATTAAAAAATGGGTTCAAAGCAAACTGATCTACAAGCTAAGAGACTTAATTATGCTACCTGACTTTTCTGTAGGTAAAATACAACTAACTCCATGATAAAAGGTATACATTGAATACTTGCAGTATGATGCAAAATCTACCTACCAAGTTTAATGCTTTATTTCACCTGAGTGATGAGGCACAAAAATCTCATTCAAATCAGCATCTTAAGCCATTTATATTACGTGTTCAGTGTGTTTGCCCTCAAACATTCTGAGTATTAGTTTCAGTCCTTGCTGCTGAAGGCCTGTTGCTTTGAGAATAATCATCAAAAACTGATTCTGTCCTGCAAAATTTCTTGACAAGGCTTAAAATTGTGTGCCTGTCTGGTCCAACTTTGATGCCAAACTTTACCTGGAATGACCTTCTGGGCTTTCAGATGATCGAATGTACTCTTTAATGATGAATATTTGCTGCTCGGTACTGTACAGAATGGAATGAAAACAAATGGCATAAGTATTACAGTGTGTCAGCAAAGTTTCTTCATATTATGATCACTTTTTGCAGAGAAAATTGAGTTTAAACTTAATACGTTCATTTTGGATCACTCTGTACAAGGTATTCAACTGGTCAACAAATTTATTGGTTTCATGGAACCCAAAGAATCATATATATTCTATGTACAGTTTACACCAGCAATCTTACCTGATACCAACCTGCTAAAGAACAGCACTGATAAAATAATCTGGTAGCACAATTATTTCTCCCTTGGTATCGATGACAGTATCTGCTATATGAGCTCTCAACGTTTCTGAAGAGTTCCCCATATGACACACTACATAAGATTACTGACATGCTGATGAACATCAAGAAAACTATTCATTAACACAAACAGTTCACTCAGGTAGATAAAAACAGCGAAGTATTTACATATTTGTTTATGCACAATGGTAATACTATACAGTATTTAATGACGCACCACTTCACAAAAATAATGAACATCTTGTACTTTTATAAAGTTTCTCAGTGATATGGCAATCATTGAAGAATAAAGGATGAATCCTCATATTGGCATTGAGTTTGCTGCAACATCAAAGAAAACATTTTATAAAATATGTAAACAGTGTGAAAAATATGTCTATGGAAATTAAAAGTGGTGAACTAATAGCTGAGGAAATAAATTCAACAATAAGATATAAGTACATTTAAATGATAAACAAAGGACACACAACTGAGACATACATTTTAATGTCCTTCATCACAAAGCCTCTGGCATCCAGTAAAATACTCATAATATAGTCAAAAAGCTTGTTTGTACACCACATATGGCTTAAGTAGGATTTGAGGTTTTCATGGCGGTGAGTCTGAAGATGGCCGTCTTCTGGGTTGTTGCGCTGTGTGGTCTGGTAGAAGTTTATCGATGTTTCGGAGGCAGCAAGGACCTCTGAAACGTCGGTAAACTTTTACACATACGGCTTGTTTTGAAATCACATAGGTGAGGTGTTTACTGCCACCATTATTTGGGTGATGACTTATTGCATACACACACAGATTTATTATATTTTGTTAATTATGCAATGCATAAAAAGTATTTAATGTATAACTGTAGTCTTAACACCATAAATATTTTGCTTCATGTACACAAATGTTGTATAATGATCCACAATGCATTTGTTTTATGCATTTTATGCAAAGCATTTATAAAACAAACTGAATGCTGAACAAAAGGAAAGACATGCTCCAATTTCAATCCACAAATACAGCAAAGGGATCTAAAGATTATGCCAGAAGTCAATAACATTTTATGTAGATGACTGGTTGTCATATCATTAATTTATAATTCATTCTGGTCTGCTTGCATAAGCTCTTTCCAAAACTTCCCTCCAAGATGGGGGTTGTGCAGTTGGGCTCGTAACCCACCCACATAAAAATCTGTCTTACTCATACACTTATTGACTGAAGGATGGCTTAAAAATTGAAATTAGAACAATCACTGATGCCAGGAACTGCTGTATTAACAATTAACAAACCTTCAGTTTTGGTAGCACATTCTATAATCTGCACCAAACATCTTCCAAATTCCTCAATGATGAAACGTTCTGCCTCCTCCTCGCTATTCTCCATGCGCTCTGCTTCCTCTGCCTGCGCTAGCAAACACATGCATGTTGCATCAAGCACCTCCTGTGTCATGAAGTTGAATGGTTGCCTATAAGTGAGATACAAAGTAATGACATGTATTATTAATCGACTTTGCTGCTCATTTCAACTTCAGTATATTCCTCCAAAGCACTGATATCTACCGACAAGTCCAGACGGCATTATAACCAAAAAGGATGTAGGGGGACGTTAGCACTGTCCATCTTACTGCACAATATTTAGACACACGTGCTCATTTAATTGTCATAAATGAAGGGTTAAGCTAATAAACTGCTGCTAAAAGTGACCTGACCTGTATTATAAATGCAAAATATCCAAAAACATCCACAGCAGATCATAAGATTCTATTACAATGAATAACATGGCATTTAGCTGCAGGATTTTACAAAGAATATATGATGAGCATAATGATGAACACATGATATGTTCTATCCATATCATATTTAAAGAAATTATTTTAAACTTTATGGCATAACAACACTTTAGATAATAACATCACCTGCTTGCCATTCAAATCCAGGTGGCTGAATAATCATGACAGAAATGTTAATCCAAAATATTGTAGTAACTGAAATATTAACATCGTGATGATGTAAATAAGCAATATAGCAGTAGTGTGTGTGCGCGCGCGTAGAGAGAGAGAAATTTAACTTAAAAATGATTATGCAGAAACTGAGTGTAAATTTCCAGAAATTGGCCTGTACCTTGTTCCACTCTGTGCTGGTGGTGGTGGTGGTCGAAAGGCAATATCCTGTATCTGGGCTGAGAGCTTGTTTTTAATGGCTGTCTGCTGCTGAACACGAACTTCAGCTGCTTCTGCTAAATCTCTTAATGTATTCTTGTCACAAGTCTCCTCAACATTCCGGCAACCCACACATTTACAGTTGTTGGAACACGGTATCTTCGCCTAGAAGTTTTTACACATTAACAGAAACACTGTTCCTTAAATGATCAAGAGATGTCCGACTTGATTCAAGATTCAAATTTCAGAACTAAAATTAAATGTTAAATTTTCAATGTTTTGCCATAAAAAAAAGGGGAAACATGGGATTCATGAATGTGTAAATGAATAATACAGCAGGTACTTCAATATTATCAACATAGTATAAAATTACTTTGCATAATGAAGCTGCCTATAACAACTAAATTACAACTATAGAGTTCATTTGTAATAATGATTTATAATACCTCATAACATTCACAGTAATTCTTCAGACATCCAGAACGCTTGCAATTACAACCCTTATTATGTCGTCGTTCATCACCCACAATACCTTTGCCAATTTTTGGCCTAAAAGCATTGGGATTCCTTTCAAGGCAAGACTTGATGGCTCGCTGTCGATCCTCTTCATGTTCCAAATTATTGAAACAATTATTACAATTACACATGTGGCAAAATTCACCATTGGCAAAGCAATCACAATATCTGGAAAAAAACAAAAACAACAAAGAAGTCAACACACAATAATTTAGCACAGGAATGTCCAGATAATATGAAAAAATCAACTCTGGACACTTGTAAATATCATTTACACAAAAATCTTTTTTTAAACTACTTTCCTAATCAATATTTGGGAGTTGGCTTTTGGAGAAGATGACACAGTTTCTTTAAATGATATTTACATGCTACCATGTGCTACTGCCCAGAATAGTGGCATCCAAATTCTTCTTGTCAGACTTCTCAGACTAGCCAACATTAAAATTTTCTGAGCACGATCATCTAAATTCACCAAGTTCAACAATGTCGACAGGAAAGAATCATAATCTAACTGGACATTTTCATCATGCTCTCTCCAATAGTTTTGGCCAGGAAACTTTCAGTTCTACTGCACATGAAAACAAAAATGGAAAAGAATTCTACGTGTAAAGCTTATATATGTCAAAACTGGCAAAAGTTTTCATTCCAAATGCCATCTTCACTTTCACAACTTCCATTTCCTTCATGTACCCATATGCAAAATAATGCACAACTACAATGTACACATATTCTGTTAAACTTCAGAACTAAACGTATGCACTGAAAGCTATAAATAAAGAAATTCTAAGACAAAAACATAGGCAAAATGTTAACGCATTCAATTTTATGATGTCAGATTCAAGAGAGTATAAAGCGGTACTGGAAATGAACAAAGAAAAAAAAAAAACCAAATTCCAGGATATTATGTACAATGTATAATGTACAGTTAGTTATACCTGACACGTATATTTTAATACTTTACCAGCTTCACATAAAATTTTTGTTTAATTTCTTAAAACAGTTGTATAGATAATATTTAAGGGTGTGGGGTATTTGAGAAAATATGGCAATATGACACAAAGATCCTAATCAAATTTGATTAAAAGCTGAACACAAATATTCCAGATAGTTTTCTGGAATACTCACAATTTGAGACACTGAGACTTGGTACAATTGCAAGGTTTCCTTGGCCGGATACCATTTGGCTCTAATGTTGTCCGTGTTGCTACACTTGGCCTGGACTGATTGTGTGGTTCTGCACTGGCCGCACTGTTACTGGATGAATGACTAACAGTGTTGTGTGTGTTGAGGATACTCTGCTGTTGATGGCTCTGATTTTGTAACTGCAAGTCCAGAAGTATATGTAATGAACAAACAAGATTAACACCAGTTAATACCAATTCAAGAAGTGAAGGCTGTAACACTTCGGTTT